GGGGCATCGGGGCCCCACATCGGGCATCGGAGCCCGGCACCGGGTGCCGGAGCCCCGCATCAACCCCATATTGGGCATCGGGGCCCCGCGTTGGGCATCAGACCCCGTGCTGGGGATCGCAGCCCCGTATCAGCCCCGTCTCCGTCACCGGGTACCGGAGCCCCATGGCGGGGCTCACCGACCCGGCCACTGCTGCCCCCCCCTGGCCCACGTCGGGTACCACTGGCCCCGCATTGGGCATCGCTGCCGTTTTGGGGCATCGCGTTGGCCCCGCCACCCTCCGCTCCCCAGCTTGGATTTCTGCCGGACCCGCTTGGGTTTGCACCAGTGGAACAAAAAGGTCCCCCGGCTCCTCCATCCCATTTCCCAGCCCGGGGAAGGGACGTTGCCTCCACCCTCCCTGGGAGCAGGATGGGGCCATGTTTAAAAAAAAAGCCTTTTTTTTTTTTTTTTTTTTCATTTTAAAAAAAATAAAGGAAAAGTGCTGGGGGTCATTTTTGCCTGGGGGCTGAGCGGGGAAGAGGGCACCAGCCGGGTTTCTTCATCTCGGGGGGGGCCAAAATTCCCGCTGCCAGCTCCGGCGTTGGGGTTTAGCCCCAGTCATTTTCAGGAGGCAAAAGCTCTCTTCCTCCTCCTCCTCCTCCTCCTCCTCCTCTTCCTCTCTTCTTGCTGCAGCCTAGTCCAGACAATGCTGTCATTGCCAAAGCAGGGGAGGGGGGGATAAAAAAAAAAATAAAAGCCTTGCTGAGAAGGAGATTAACCCCTTCGAGGGGCGGGGGTGGCTCCGCGGGGCCAGACTCCAGCTCCCGGCTGGGAGAAAAGCCCTCGAGGGAGAAAATCCCGGCTCTCCCCAGGCGCCAGCCCCGAGGCGGTGGTGGCCGGGGCTGGTGGGGAATGGTGCCGCGGTGATCGGGCGCCCCAAACGCCTCCACCCCAGCCACCTCCTCCTGGCAGCCCGGCTGAGCCCCATGGCCCCAGGGTGGAGGTGGGGGCAGCCCATGCCTCAGTTTCCCCATTCCCCCCCGCTGAGGCTGCGGAAGGGATGAGACAGCCCAGAGCCGTCACCTCCCCGGCTGGTGCCAGCGCAGCCGACGTGGTTGGGCCAGGAGCCCCTCACCGTGGCGTCACGCACCGGCGTGCCTGAGGAAACCGGGCTGGATTCATTTTCTTGCCGTTTGTAGGTGGGAAAGATGAGACAAAAATAATAAAAAAGAAGAAAAAAGCCCCACCGCGCGCGGCTCGTACCCTGCACAGCCCCGGCCCAGTGCCGGTGGCCCCTAAGGGTGCGTCGTCCCTGTCCCTGTCCCTGTCCCCATCTCCCAGCCACGTGGGCGTCCTGGCGCGGGCGCTGGCGGACAGGGAAGAATAATCCCCTGCCCAAAGAGCTGATGGCGTTCAATGGCAGCGATGTGCTTAGGGTCCCACGGCCAGGACCCCTGCACTGAGGGTGGGCACAGAGGGACCTTATTTCGGTGGCGGGTGGCTTTTCGGCACCTGTCGGCCTCCGTTGGGGAGGACTCGGGCAGTGAAGCCTGGTGGCCATCCCTGAGCCGGCGGCGTCCCTGAGCCCACTTCATTCCTGTTGCCTCTCTTCCAGCGTGCTCGGAGTCCCTGGGTGACCTTGACATGTCCTTGTCCCCATTGTCCTCATCCCCTCCTCTCGCATGGCATCGTGGAGAGCGGGGGGCATCGTGACTTGCCCCCTCGTTTGGGGGGAGCCTCTGCTCGCCCTTCCGGGGGTGGCTGCAGGAAGGTGGCCCTGGGACGGTGGCCCTGCCCTCCGGCAATGGCAGTCCCTGGGGACTCACAGCCCCGAGACAGGGCGCTGCCACAAGTGGCACATGAAGTGGCATCCTCAAACCCCTTCTTTGCTGACTCGTGAGGAAACGGGGGCTTTCGTGGTCCCCAAAAAACAACGCTGGGCTGGTCCCGTGCCCCCTTGGTGCAAACTCTGTCCCCAGAGGTGCCACCAAGCTGGGCTCACGGGGATGTGCAGTGGCCCATGTCCTGCAAAGCCGGCTCCGGTGCTCATGTCCCAGCCTGGTGGCCGCCCCGCGGGGATTTGCAAGCTGCCAGCACTGCCATCAGATGGTGGCGCCAGGATGGCGTCACTGGGACAGCAGCACCGGGACTGGCCTCGCCAGGATGGCACCATCAGCATGGCCTCGCCGGGATGGTGGCACCAAGACTGGCCCTGCTGGGATGGCTTTGCTGGGACAGTGGCACTGGGATCAGCCTCGCCGGGATGGCACCAGGATGGCCTTGCCAAGATGGTGGCACCTGGGTAGCCTCACCAGGATGGTGGCACCAGGACTGGCTGTGCCAGGCTGGCACTGGGACGGCCTCGCCGAGACGCCACCAGGATTAACCTCACCAGGACAACACTCTGACTGGTCTCACTGGGATGGTGGCACTGGGATGGCCTCACCATACGGCGGCACCAGGATTCGCCTTGCTGGGATGGCACTGGAGCTGGCATTACTGGGACTGGCCTCACTGGGACGGCACCAGGATGGTCTTACCGGGACTGGCCTCTCCAAGACACTGCTGGGACTGGTCTTGCCAGGACTGGCCTCACTGGGACAGCGCTGGATTGGCCTCACTGGGGCAGTGGCACCGGGACAGCCCTGGGATGGCCTCGCCACAAGGGCACTGGGACTGGCCTTGCTGGGATGACCTCACCGGGATAGCATCAGGATGGCCTGGCCAGGATGGCACCGGGGTGGCCTCGCTGGGCCAGCACTGGGGTGGCCTCCCCAGCACCTGTGACCTGTCCACATCCCCGCACGACCACCCCATTCAGGGCTGGGGGGACCCCAGACCTCCCCTCCTGCCCCGTCGGTGCTCGTGGGCTCGGGGGAGTCGGGGACTGAGGCTACCCACTGTGGGGCTGGAGCCCTCCATGATGGTGGTTTTGGCCTTCACCGCTTTGGGGGAGGCCACGGGCACTGGAGGCCTCTGCTCTGCTGCTGGCCAGGGTCTCAAAGCTTGCCGGTGCACCATCTCCTTTCCTCCCCTCAAATTTCCAAACCCATAAGCTGCCTTCAGCCCTCTGAGGAAGAGGAAGGGATCACCCAAAATCCTGAGGTCTCCATGGTCTACAAAGTTGCATGGCCAGACTGGAAGGGGAAAAACCCAGGAGGGGAAAGAGGTTGTGCTCAGCCTTTATTAGCCATCAGAGAAGCCGC